CTCGCCAACCCCTCGGGCCGCTCCTGCCTGTGCCCTGACAACGTGGTGGGCGTGGGCTGCGTGGAATCAAGCTTTGGGTAGTAACGTGCGAGGGACAAGCTGCCAGCACGGGGGACTTCCTTTGTCTGACTCTTGGTCTCTTGCCACTGGTGTCAACGGCAGCTTTTGCCTGTTACTATACTTACCCAATAAGGCACTGAGTGTGATGGAAACCAGTGTGTTCCAGGTGTTTGTTTTTTTTTTAACACAGTAATTCTTTAAAAAAAACATTTTAGATTCGTTCTGATTCCTGTTTGCCATTTTTAATCCGTTGGAAGTTTTTTTTTATTGTAAATAAATACAACTATAGATGTCTCTCCAGTTTTTTTATTTTTTGGTTTTCCCTCTGGTGCTTTCAGTTTTTTACGGTATCCCGCAGTGGGAGGAGGAGATCTTTAAAGTATCAGGTGTTACTGTGAAGTTTACCCTCTATGGCAGAATGTGAAGTAAAAACTCAAAGACAAAGAACATAAAAATGCAACTAGGTCTGTCTGCGCCTTCTGTCAATACAGCTGTTTGGCACGCCTGTGCGAAGTGTTTCGATGACTTCATCGTGAAGGAAAGGGGTTGAGGCCTTGCATTAAAGTATTGCACACTGACAATCTCTTGTATGTGCAGCTGGTGTAAGAGAGATGTTACGTTCTGTACAGCTACCCAAAAATAAAGAAAGACCTTTTTTACAGGGTGGTTCTGAGCTTTTCCTTTAAGCATTCATGTTCACTGAAGCCCACTTTAACATTGCATTGCACTTTCACACGAATTTCTTCTTTGACATCTTACTTCTGTACCTGAACGTTGCAGGACATTTGAGTTCTACATACCCTCTGGTTAAACAACATGGCACAACATAACACTGTGCATGACTAGTCTTGACCTTCTACATACAGTACCATAGTGCAGCAGTGTTGTTGCTCAATTAAGCAGCTGTGGAAGGACTTTCTGGGAGACTGCTAGTGGTTTCATGGTTTTGTATCACATAGTGTCCTTGAGGCTTGACAGTGGTTCACCAGTCTTTGTGAAAGTAAGAATTACTGGGAAATACTCAAATTCCCCTGAGCAGCTCGGTTCTGCAAAAATAAGCTGGTGTTTAAGAAATAATACCACTGTTTGTTTTTCCTACAAAAACAGTGTGAGAGGGAAGAAAGACTTGCCAGCCCCAAACAGTCAAGTAGCATGTCGTCCAGCTCCCCTCGACTCACGCGAACATCTCGTGCACACAAGGGGGTGAAGATGGGCCTGTCGGGGCAGTTTCTATTAGGAAAATATGAAAGGACAAAAACAAGGGAGGGGTCTTTCTGTAACTTCAATCTCAGTGTGCTGCTACATAAGACAAGCATTTTTTGGTGTTTCTGTGGTTCTTTGTCATTTATATTTAAGACATCTATTTATATTTAAGACATCTACACTTGCCTGCTTCCTCACCATTTCAAATTCCCAAATTATCTTTTCTTATTTCGATTTATTCTAAGTACTAGGTTTACTTTTTGAAATACTGTTAAAAATAACGAATCTTTGATCCCGGTACTCATTCCCAATTTTATCCTCTGGTCTTAACAACACTTTTTTTAGCGTATAAGAGCACTGTAATGTGCCGGAAATTTCAAAAGTAGTAAAAGCTATTACTGTACTTTGAGAAAAAGAAACACACCATGGTGAGTTCGATTAACAGTTGACAGTGAAAGGACCTATATCTGCTTGATTTAGAAAAATAAACTCTTGTTCTTCTCTATTCCTTTGATTCGCTGAAGGTAAAAACATGTTCTGTACCTGGCACATCGTACATGCCTCATCACTGGAGGCAGTGCACAAAAGAATATAAGAAAAGTCTAAGACAAGATGAGGCTGCCTGGCTCCCCCAGCCTATATAGAGTATCAACTCTACTGGCTGGTACACTTGTTCCAAGCTCCTGCAACTCTCTGTGCACACTAGTGCCTCCTATACTGAGGGGTAAGTGCGCTTCCACTTTTAAAGTGGTTTCCACATGCGCTCTCTGGTGAGTTCAGCTTGGAGAATCCATTGGTGACATGACTCAGATTTGTACGAAAATATTCATATAAAATACACTCTTTTCACTATATGATTTAATTGTTCTTGTATGAATCTCTTTCCTGACATCCCTTTTGAAAATGTGTGCATCCCTAGCAGGTAAAGTATAGGGTACTATTGGAGAGCAATTTTTACTGCCTTCCTATTCTTTTATTTTACAAATATAAATGTCCAAATTGTCTCTGAATGTGAATGTAATGTACATTGCTTCAAGAATATCGAAATCGCCTCCTCCGTTTTGCAGCGCTTTGAAGTTAACTAAAACCTAAAAAACATCTTGTAAATTCATATTGGGAAAGTTAGCTGATAAATGAAAATTGCTCTTACATAATCTGGGATGTATGTTTGGAGCCCCCTGGTGTTTAAACGTTATAAACCTTGCTCACTGAAAGGCGATACTTTTAATTAAATTAAAGGTTTATTAGATTTTCCTGAAATCCAAATTTTAAAAACATTTTGTTTTTAAAACTGTCTTATTAAAAAGCCGTTTTTTAGTGACCTTCATACCAGTGGCTCTGAAAAGTGCATAACTACCTCTGGGCTTACACAATGGTGCAGCTGTACAAATGTTAGTAGGATGTAAATAACGTACATCACAAACTTTAAATTCAGTTTCTGCAACTATCTGTAACAGCAATTCCCTGAAATGAAATCAAAATAACGATTGTGAAATGGGACTAATTCTTAAAGTACCGTATTTAAATTAGTGATTGCACAAAAAATCTTACATTTCAAAGTGTTTTATATTCTGTCCACTGTAAGGCAGGTATTGTGAATCTATCGAATTAAATCATGAGCTGAATTGATTTTTTAAAGGATGGTTTCTTAATAAGTGGACAAGAAACTAACTTTCACATTTCGTAGCCTGAAATCTATTTATGATTAATACATGTATTGGCAAGAGACGTACAATTAATGTGATATGGAGTATTGCCTGTAAAACAACGTTACTTAAGAAACGGCGGAGAACGTCTCCTGGAGCTCTGAACGAGAAATGCATAAAATAGCGGAGAGCTCAGATCATAACGGAGATCTGAGGTTTTGCGGTCGGAGTTTCTGAATTGCTAACGGTTTCGAGATCATAAGCTTATTACGTGTTTTACACGATGCAACACTAGATGGCGCTGTTTGCTACTCTGTATCCCAAAAGATTAACACAGTTGTATCATAGAATCACAATATGATATCGTGCATATATATATAAACGTCTTGAAGTGTTTCTCTTTGTCTGCCACCTCAGCTTACTGATCGATCTGTGTTATTAAACAAGTCAGTGTTGAACAAACCTACACTGTAAGACCCCACCGCCAGC